CGCTGCTGAAACACTGACTGAGCGATTACACGAGTTATGATGCCTTTCAATAAGTATACTGTATCTTTCAACAAACCTTCAGGTGTCCATTCTGTAACTGAGGAAGAGATGATCGCGTTTACTCGCGCGCCGCGCTGCTGCTTGAAATGAGGAGCCTAGTAGGCCTACAGCGATCTGTCACGCCAAATCAAAGAGCGCCAAAACGCCATTTATTGTTTGAATTTCGTGATCAAATAGACAGAATTTGAAAGATTACACCTTGCTTATTATCGAAAGTAACAAAACACGGAGCTTGTTATTTGGTGTTAATGGTGGTTAGGCTACAAAACTGAATTCGTTGTGTACACATAGGACATGAGGTCCATTGAGCCGGGCTGGGCGGGGCCGGGATTAGCAGGGGGCGGGGCGGGGCGTGTTCGGTACGCAATGAGAGTATCGCGATTCGAATCGTGAGGTCTGTATCGCGGTTTTTCGGTTCGGTTCGAATATCGTTACACCCCTATTTATTGTGCTCAGCACCCATTCTAAAATCCCCGGGATAGTTTCCCACGCAGCTATGTGAGCCGCTAGGGGGCGAATGGCCTCCGGGTTCAGATCGCCGCCGTTTGCGGGCTTGTGAAACTGAACCGGAGCTGAAAGCGCGGCGCGCGCGCTCTTGGTTCTGGGCAACGGCTGCTCGCTGAAAGCCGAAACCGGCTGATTTATGTGAGATGTCCCAATCATAAGGGATGGGGAACCTTTTCTCCTCACTTTTTGACGCGCGAGCGGCGCTTTGGGCGGAAAAGCGTCCTGTAAGCGTGAGCGCGTTTGTGCGGGCACGAGACTTACAAGTGTATTTGACGTCCCGATCAAAATGGATGGGGAGCGTCTTATTAATGCCCTGCATTTTGTGATAGCACTTAAACGCGCGGGCGGCGCCCGGGGGGAGGTTTGTGTTAGTAAGCGTGAACGCTCTCTGGCGGGCACGAGACTTACTTTCATAACCTGCTTTCTTGATCGTGTAACAGAGCGGGCAGATAGTGGGCACAGACCTGTGGACACATTTCTTATATTCAACACTCGAGCGGCTTTTCTGCGCTTTATGAGAGTGTGCTCTGTGGGTGACACGATATTTGAAGTGCTTGTGTGTAGGGGTGAACACTGGGGCGTGGGCACTTTCACTACACTTAAAACACTGACGGCGTGAGCCGGACCAGACATAATGCTCTTTTTGAGATTTCTCTGGGTCGCCGTGAAAACGGCGTTTGTGTGCAGGCGAGAGGGTGGACAAACCGGCTCGTTGGCTGCTAAATGAACCACTGCAGTAGCCTGTTTGAAGGGGACTGACAGGGAAATAAACTTTGACGGCGGTCCGGCCGCGGCGGGACACGCGCGTCTTTTCTCTCTCTTTGTTAGGAGGACTTCGCGTGCTCAGACTTCAGCGTGATCTTCTGCCGAGGCCCCCTGGGGGGCGGCGGTCTGTGACGGCTGTCTGAGCGCGACCTAGGGCGGCCGCCCTGACGTCGCTGCGAAGGCTGAGGCTGTGCTGGACGCTGGGTGCTAGCTCGTACAGGAGGCTGGCTTTGTTTCTCGCGAGAGCGGCATGTAGCGGAGCTCGAGCGTCGCGGCAGGAAGAGGTTCATGGCCTGCGTGGTCTTTTGTACCTCAGAGAAACGGTCAACGATCCCGTTTACCGCTGGGCCGAAGAGACCAGTGGGGGAGAGCGGCGCGTTCAGGAAGGTGGCTGAAGTCTCGAGGAGAATGGTGCATTCCACGACTTCATCAGCTCTGTGTGAAGTTCCGGCAGGAATGGAGCGGGCCTGCTCGCTGAAGCTGCACGGCGGCGACTTTGAAGGAAACAGCCGTCGAGCCTGTTCGGCGCGGGTTCCTTCGGCAGCGACCACTCGAGCCCGAGGCGGTCGACGGCCTGCGTCAGCAGGCGCATAAGTTCCGCGTCAGCTCCAGCGCGGGAACGGCTGGATTCCTGGATCGACGAGGAGCCGGAGTGAAGCGACCATTCCTCGCTGTCCGATGCCAGGATGGAGCAGCAGTCTCTCGTGGCGTGTTCCTTGGCCTCCTCCTCAGACGCGACGGCAGTGAGGCTCGTGAGCGGCAGCTGCGCGTCGGGGAGGGGAGGCGGGGAAGGCGAAAGCAGGGCTCGAGGGAGGTCCTCCGGCGAGCGCGTCGCTGTGGCCACGGGCTCCGGCTGCCTCAGGGAACGGCGCTTCTTCCTGCGCGGTCCCACAGAGGGCGGAGTGGCTGCATCGGGTTTGAAGACTTCGAGCCGAGCCCGTAGGGTCGACAGCGGAAGCGCTTCGCAGAGCTCGCAGCCCACGGACTCGAGGGCGAGCTCTGCATGTTCCAGGCCCAGGCAGAGAGCGCAGATCACATGGCGGTCTCCAACGCTGAGCGGGGCCCTGCACGAGCCGCAGGAAGTGCGAGGCATCTTTAAAAAGACGCTCGCGCTCTTTTAGAAATAGAGAGTTTGCAAGGTAAAAGGATACGTCGCCGGATAGCGTAGCTCGCACGGATGGCTGAAGGTGGCGAAGACGGCCGGCTTCCTCAGCGCTGTCCTAAGCTGGCTGTTCGCTGTTCGACGGCGGCGGTGGCTTCTCTCTGATCCAGCGATGCGAAGAGCTCGCTGAAGAGTCGAAAAATCAGGGAAGTCAGCCTACAGCCCCTTCTTTTATACGCTAAGCCACGCCCATTCTGGCGGGCTGTGACGCTATGAAGGCGCGAGCGCCCTTCATTGGGCGTGACGTCACGCGGGGCTCACTGGTAGGCTGCAGCAGATGCCAGCAGGGCAGCCAATGAGCACGCGAGATGGCCTGCTCTAGGTCTGCTAGCTGCTGCACTGCGTTGACAATGAATACAAAATTAAGGATAATTTTTTGGATAATTTTATGTCGAGAAGATGAATCTTTCCCGTAGCGTAAGCTAAACTTACGCAATACGAGAGAACCTCTCGTAAGAGAACCTGACTGCCTGTCTGGGAGGGGGACATGTTCTGTCTTTGCCTTTGTCCTGCAGAGTTTGCAGTTCTTGTATCAGCAAGTGTGCCTGTTCTGGTTTCACGGTAGTGGAAACCACGCCGTTGAAACATGGAGGACAGCGTGCAAACTGTATTCTGTAGCCCTTTTGTATGGTTCTGAGAACCCAAGGAGATATGTTTGGCAGTAGTTTCCACTCTGCCAACTTCTCTGAAAGGGGCACTAATTTTGACGCAGTGTCTTGTGACGCAATGTTTTGATGGGGGAATGGTAAATATCCTGTGTCCTGGGGAAAGGCAGGAAGCAACTGAATATTTAAAATTTTGCTGGAAACCACTGCCCTCCGAAACATGGAACAGCGCTATCATGAGTGTGTTGGGAAGGAGCTACTTAATATATGTTTATGTGTAGCGTCCCGGGGCGTTCCTTTTTTTCTTCTCCAGCAGTTCAGCCTGGTACGCCTGCCATAGTGTGCAGAGCAGCAACAGCATGACCCGCTGATTGAAACGCCTTCCTTACCAACGTGAATGTTGTTCAACATGGCTTGGTGTGGAGCGCTCACTTTTTAAGTGACGATAAGCTCCCAAGAGAGACAGCCCACGAGCGTCTCTTCCAAAAGGAGCATCATCGTATAACCACGTGCCCTTGCACCCACGATAGTCGAATAAGTTGACGTCGAGGGCACAAAGATACATGAAGAAGGGGAGAGACCATCGCTGAGGCCTATCCCCCTAACCACCGGACAAAAATCTGCTCTAACTTCGAGTGCTTACTCTTTATCCTGTGGCCAGTCTGGCTGTAATCTGGCCAGTGCACGAGTGACCAACTTGAGTAACTCCTCATGCACTTTATCATCGTGGGAGGAGCGCTCAAAGGTGGCGTTCTAAAAGTCCATCTTTAGATGGCTATTTTGTCATTTAATTACTAAGAATTAAATGTAGCCTAAGAACAGTCAGAGAAGATGTTAATACAAGCATCTAACTTCTCAAATCAGATGAGTATTAATCATTTCTCAGAACTAAATCAAGCGCAGCATTGAGAGTAGCTTTTAAAAGGCAACAGTCATAGGTTGAATTTGTCACTCATTTCCTAAAATTTTACTCAGAATCAGAAGACTCCAGTATGACATTTTTCCAGTATGCTAGGAAAATGCAGTCAGGGCACTATTAGAAGGGTTATGTGAATAAACAAACAAATATCACTCTGCCCCTTCTCATCTGACATGTTGGCTGAATGTGAGTAAAAAAAGACAGAAAGAATTAGTATGAGCACATGACAATTATTTATTTTCTCCAATTCTATGCACCGCCATGTGTGTCTTCAGAACTCCTTTTCTAAAGGACTTTCACAGATGCAGCCAAACACACATGGCACAGTATTAAAAAGTTTGTTACTTGTCAAAATCTTTATTCTCGGTGACAGTCCATTAATTGTTAGGACAATCTGTCAAGGGGACAATGTTGATAGTGATCTGTTTCTCTTCATGTCTTGGATCACTACCAGGGATTATACTTGAAGCAGTTGGCAGACTAACCCTTAACCACAGGCTTCCACCACCCTTTTTTCTGAAAAAGCTAATTTAGACCAATTTTGGACCATTTCGTCTCATTGAGTCAAACACCAACACATTTTCAAACAGGTCAAACATAATGAAGCGGATTCCATCCCACCCTAGACCTGCACTGCATCCAGACATTTCTTTGGAGCTTAAAATGGCTGGAATCAAACATAGAAAGGTCATCACCACTAGACCAGCTGCAGAAATAGACATTTTATTTGTTACAATATAACTTGACAGTTGCATTCTTTGCATTTTTTAAACTCACATTTAGAACTGTCTTTGCTTTTTAATAGATCTCTGATTAAATAGTGTATACACTTTTAATTAATATTTTAACTAAAGCCAGTTATGCTTGTTTTCTCTAATGTTTTGTTTTAACATGAAACAACAGTGTATAATGAGGCAACACTGCTTGTGTACAGTTTATGCAATGTATTGAAATATTAAATATTATATTCTTTCTCTGACAGGGAGACATGGGAGAGCAGGGGCCAAAAGGTGACACTGGAGAGAAGGTCAGGCTGAACATCATATCTATACATATTTAATAGTATAAACATGCTGAACTATAACATGATTAACTGGTGTATGGACTGTGATATTGTGACATTGCTACTCATAGAACATCATTACTACACTGTGGACTGTGAAATTAAATTAATTTTTACTTTTAAAATAATTCAGTCAAATTGTTTTATGCTGAATAGTGTACTATTCATTCTATTTTTTTGTTTTATTCTAAAAGTATTTAACGCATTGATACATATGTTTTGAGGCTAATACACCTATAACTCTAGGATGGTAGTAATATGACTTTATGGAATTAAATTCCATTTATTTCAACAGTTTGGACACAGAAAATAGGGCACATGATAAAACGTTTTTTCTTGGGAAAGTGTTTGAGTGCTTTCTACATAGCTGTAATAGACTTATTTTGCCAAAGGTGTAAAATATGATTCAGGAAGTTAGCATCATAGGAAATTAAAGCCTTAAGCTTTTTATAACAGCAGACATCAGAGCATGTAAGTGAAGTGGAGCGGTGTGATGCTCCGCTCAATATTCCGCTCTATGCCAGTGCGGTCTGCTGAATCGCTCACGACCCAAGTGAATGCTCCATTCATGTACTGCTCAGCTCACTGGTAAAACAAAGTTTGTTTAAATCCCGCTCTGACATGGAATTTCTCTGTACTATATGTCTTTCTGTTTGTAATGAATTTCTTGAATAAATGTCTCAATTAGAGTAGACTTATAGATAACAGTTAAGAAATTTGTGACTTTAAAGCAATATATTGTATAAAGTAGTATAAATAAACGTTACGTGACTTAATTGGAGTGCTGAATTGCAAATATATTTACGTCGCTATAATCATATGTTTTCGCAACACATTCTCATCCTTTGGCGTCATATAGGTGACGCCATATGACATTTCGTCGAAATCTTACGCACATGGCATCCTTTAGCGTCAATATAACACGCACTGTTATGGGTAGGTTTAGGTCTGGGGTAGGGTTACGGTTATGACGCCTTGGGATCTGCGTCTCATATTGACGCTAAAGGATGCCATGATGTGCGTCGGATTTAGACGAAATGTCAAAAGCGTCACCTGTATGACGCCTTGGGTTATGCGTCTCATATTGACGCTAAAGGATGCCATGTGCGTAAGATTTCGACGAAATGTCAAAAACGTCACATGTATGACGCCTTGGGATGAGAACGGGCTGGTTTTCTTTACTGCGTTTTTTTCAACCCTGTCATTTTTGTTGTGTGTTTTTGTTATTGAGAGGAAAGGATGCAGCACATATTTACATATTTATCTAAACACCGCTCTCAGCAGCGTGAGGGTGTCGGGATGCTCACTAACAGTATACTGCTGCAAAGGTATTTCAAACCTCTTTTAAGTTTCACCCCTAAGCAAAGAACGAAAAATAACTTTGCTGTGAGTACATCACAAGATGAATCTTAGCTAACTCAGTTTTTCCACAGGTCCTTTCAATTTCTTCTCCTTATTCATTCTTAACTTTGATGATTACTGTGCATTTATGTGTTATGCGTAACTTCATTAAAACAATATTTGAACTCCATAACCTTAAACATATTTCACAGATTCTCGAACCAGCAAATCACAAAGGGCATTCTGGGTTGATCGAGTGGTCCTGAGCAGCCAGAGCGGAATCTTCAGAAAGACGTGGAGAAAATATTACCACTCCAATATTACAGCAATAATGGGCAATTAACAGGCACATAGTCTGACTCAAATCAGGTTTAGCTAGTGATATATTTCAAACATACTGCAACATTTGTACCGCAAATATTCACAATTAGTCCCTGTTAAAATAATTACATGTCCCTGTCATCCACCTTCTTCAGTGCGTCTGGTCCATGTGTGCAACCATCTTAGACTTTAGATATTCAAAGCATGGCAGTTTGCGATGACTTGCACAGCTGTCGTTAGAAGCTCCGGTTGCCACTGTCAGTATCCTGAGATGTGTGCAGGAATGCACATGCGCTTTGGCTGGCCCAGCGTGAAATATAAGCTTTTTTAAAATGCTATTTGAACATAAAGTAGGTTATAAAAGTTGTAATGAAATAAAAGTTCATTTAAATGTGACTATGGCAAGCAGTTTTTGAGAATTCAGGATTTCCCCACTGAAGTAGATAGGACTTAGTTTTGGATGCCTGAAATAGCTACCCGAAGCCATTCCAAATATGTCCGCTGAGTGAACAGACTTTCTTTGAAAAGGACTTTGTTAACATTAATCAGACCAAGACAACCCATGTATGATTCAGCACTGACTAAGAGCACTGATGTGTAATGTTTCAGTCTTGTCTGCACAATTAAAACACTCCCGGTTATGATCTGGAATCAATGTCTAGTGCTTTTCCCAAAAAATCATCAATGATTCATTGTGAGTCATTCAGAGAGGATACAGACCTTTTGGCATATATTGTCTGAGGATGCCAGGGCCTGGAATCACAGTCCCAAGGAAAACATTACAGGATACAGGTTTAAGATCTATACCGGGTAAAGCCGAAAAGAGAAAATAATAAAGGCAGAGGCAGGCACACATCCAGACTGTGTGAGAAAATTGCCAAGTGTTTTGGCAGACTCTGCTGTTGAATAAGGCTAAGTGAAAAGATCTCTCCCAAAAGTGAGATTGAATAATGTTCCCTATAAATTTTATTATTGTATACAGGGCAAACAGTGATGACAAAACTTGCATAAAATATATTTTATTTTACAGATCAGCAATAAAAAACATTGAGACAGAGTTTGATTGCTCAAGATTATCACTAAAATCTGCATATCTTTGCATAGTCACTGATTTATGCCAGTGGGTGCCCACATTCCAAACCCACTCACCCACCTAATTCATGTGTGCATGAGACAGAAATCAAAAGCTTTTGTGTCAGGTTGTAATGCTAAATATAACGGTAGAATTGTGTATATTACAATAATCCAGGTCCAGATGTCAGATCCACCAATCACAGAGGTTTTTTAATCTCAATTGATTTTTGATTAGTTACATGGATTTGAGAATATCCCGTGTTTTTCCGTGGGTGGTCGAGTTGTATCTGTGTATCGTTTATAGGCTAATTATACAATGATTAATTTTGGTCCTTGAATTTGATTAGCCAAGCGGTGTTCCAGTAGTGCTGCTGTCAGTCTATGTATTTTTAGTGTTGTGGATTTTTCAGTGACTCTTTCTGCACATTACAATGTTGTGCCAGTTGGTAGCAACAAGTGACTGTCTTTATGAGTGAGTCATTGACTCATTTACACAAATGCAGCTCATGACCCTGTTTTTACTCAATTCGCAGTAAATGTTGCTCCATATAAACTTCATCTCTGCTAGTGGTGTGAGTTTGGGTCACAGCATGCATTTGAAAACGCTAACAAGCATAAACCATATTTCCAAACTTATAAATCTGTTGTCAACAAAATAGAAGCTTTAAAGGCTCTCTGCAGTTTTCCGCCAAAATTAAATGTTTGAAAGCAAAGGAATGAAGACAGCCACAAATATTATTTATAATTTTTCAAATAAAATGGTCATTATTGTTATTAAATAATAATTTATTTTATTTATAGTACATCAATATCACTATATTCATATTTCTTTATTGATTTTTTTTATTTTCAGAATTTAATAAAATACAAAATAATATTTAAATAATAATAAAAATAATAATTGTAATTAGTAGTAGTTGTAGTATAGACATATTAAATTGGTAAATTTAAAACAGTAAAAACAGCAATGTGGGTGAAAAAGACTGTGACTGAGTCCCCTATTTCCTCATGCATAAATTGACATTTATTTTAAGCTGATTTTTTACCTGAATTTTTTACTCGGGTGGGGCATGACCCTGGGCCCACTGTAGGGGGTTTGATATATCTTTGTCACCTTTTTCACCACTGATGACTTGCATCCCTAAAAAAATAGACAAAGTAACTGGTACAAAACAAATAACACACCCAGTCGCAATTGTGCTGTTAGTCTGCATATCAGCAAGGCTGTGATTCGGAGGTAAACACGAGGCCATGGCCCACCGATACAGTCATGCTGATATTCAGAACAGCAGCTTGATTGAGTGATATTGCTTTTATATGTTCTAAATCTGAAGTTCATTGTGCGATAATTAAAATTAAGATTTTTTTTAAAATCTTTATTTCACACATCAATACGGAGCCCCTAAAGGTACCTTTGCAAAAATAAAAATAAATATACAGCCTTTCGCATGAAACTTTTCACGTTTTTTACAATTTCCGGTTTATGAATACTATAACCACACACACACACACACTCTCTCTCTCTCTCTCTCTCTCGCTCACTCGCGCGCGCGCACACACACGCACACTCTCTCTTGCAGTGCCGCTGCTAGCCATTTTGGTGCCCTAAGCATAATTCCTTTATGATGCCCCCCGCCCCCCCTAAAAAAAAACATTTTCATTTAGTATTTTCATTTAGGGGGGCTAAGCCCCCAATGAGGGTATGATTTATAAAAAAATTAAAAAGCTAAAAAGTAACACTTTAGATTAGGGTCTAATGCTTACTATTAACTAGTTTCATTACCATGCAATGGCATGGTTTTATAATCACTGGGATCCCGAATTTGAGGCAGGTTAGTTAGGGGTGTTCGGGGGAAATTTTGGATTTTTCTGAACTACAGATGTGCATTTTAAGATGTTGTGAAGGCAAAAAAAAAAAAAAAAAAAAAATTCGATAACAACAGCTTTAAAACCATGTCAGTGGGCAGCTGATTATTTTTCTCTCCTCATCAGCATCACACTCTTTTTCTCTTTGTTTTTATCTTGCCCTGTCTCTTCCCCTCCTAAAGTTGGCTTTTTTAATTTACTAAAGGTTACAATTTGTATTTTATTCTCAATATGTACACATTCATTATAAATCCTGTGCCTAACATGATGAAAACAGCTTTGTTCATGTTTCTTGTCCCCTCACAATGACAGTAGCCTAAACTATTACACTAGGCTACATGTTACATAGGCCTATTTTCAGT